GACAAAGTGAGACCCTGTCTCAAAAAAAGAAAAAAAAAGTCTTTAGACATTGTCAAATGTCACCTGGGGAATAAAATCACCCCCAGTTGAGAACCATTGGTTTATGATAATCTATGTGCCAGAGGATAGTTTCTTAGGTCAGGGTGGTAGCAGTGGAAGAAATAGTAAAAAGTGGTTGCATTCTGGATATATTTTGAAGGTACAATTAGCCATGCTTTGCTGACAGATTAGATGTGGTATGTAGGAGAAAGAGAAGACTCTTGGTTTTTGGCTTGAACAACTGAAAGATGGAGTTATATCAATTGAGATAGAGAAATCTGCAAGAGGAGCAAGTTCCAAAGCACGATTGGGCATCAGAGGTCAGTTATTAGACTTCCAAATGGAGATGGTTTTTTGAGATGGAGTCTCTCACTCTGTTGCCCAGCCTGGAGTGCAGTGGTGCCATCTTGGCTCACTGCAGCTCTACCTCCCAGGTTCAGGTGGTTTTCCCACCTCAGTCTCCCAAGTAGCTGGGATTATAGGTGTAAGCCACCATGCCCAGCTATTTTTTGTGTTTTGAGTAGTGATGAGATTTTGCTATGTTGGCCAGGCTGGTTGGTCTTGAATTCCTGACCTCAAGTGATCTGCCCACCTCAGCCTCCCAAAGTGCTAGGATTACAGGCATGAGCCACCATGCCCAGCCTTAAATAGATATGTTGAGGATACAGTTCAGTATAGGTGCAGGATCGAGGTCTGAGCTGGACATATAATTTGGAAACTGTCAGCATATCAGTGGTATTTAAAGCCATGGGACTGGATAACAAGTATAGACAGAGAATGCTGTTAAAGTCTGGAGAGATGAGGAGGACCTATTAGTGAAGTAAGAAAGGGTGGACTACTGGAAGCTAAATGAAGAAAGCCCATTAAGGAAGAGGAAGTAATCATTTGTATCAAATGTTGTTTGATGGGTCAAGAAACATGAAGATGGGCTGGGCGCGGTGGCTCAAGCCTGTAATCCCAGCACTTTGGGAGGCCGAGGCGGGTGGATCACAAGGTCAAGAGATCGAGACCATCCTGGTCAACATGGTGAAACCCCGTCTCTAC